TGAAAGGGAAAATGCAAGCTAAAGCTCTGATGTTCAGAAAATATTTTGAAAATGTCATAAATTTGTGGCATATTGCATGTGACAGAGAATATGGACTGTCTACCAAAATTGATTGTCTTATTCTTCATAGGCATATGACTGGACTACATTTCCTAATCCCCCTTGAAGTTAGGTGTGGCCATATGATTGAGTTCTAGCCAATGGCATATGAGTGGAAGTCTATGTGTCACTCTCAGACCCGATCCATTAAAAACTTCCATCTGTTTAATACTGGTGTGTATATACTGTTATTTGCTGCCTTTAGTTGTACATTTTAATATAGATAGTAGCTCAAGCAAGAATTAGTTTCAAGTACAGACTAAAAATAAATGGGGAACTCAGAGATTTAGAATCCTCTAATATTTAAAAATTGTGCACTTCTGGGGATGCCTGGGTGGCTCAGTGGGTTAAGCCTCTGCCTTCAGCTCAGGTCATGATATCAGGGTCCTGGGATCGAGGCTGCATTGGGCTGTCTGCTCAGCTGAGAGACTGCTTCCCCCTCTCCCTCTGCCCACCTCTCTGCCTACTTGTGATCTCTCTCTCTCTGTCAAGTAAATAAATAAAGTCTTTAAAAATAAATAAATAAATAAATAAAGTCTTTAAAAAAAAAAAGCTGGCACTTCTGAATGCCAACAGGAGAGAAAACTGATGCAAGGCACTGAACAGCAAAGTCCAACCCAGCACTATTGTCTCAATAACCTTAAGGTAGCTTCCAAAGAGAGAGATGAATGGGTTGAGAAGGAAAAGAAATTTTTAAAAAATTATTTTTAAGAAGGAACTTTGGGGAGCATTTGGTCATAAAAATTTAGGGAAGTAAGTATACTAGAAGTTTATCAAGTTTTTGAAAGAAATTAGCAGACTCATCTAAGAAATCTTTAATCTTTAAAAATTTAGGGGGAAAATGCTTTCATAAGCTTAAAAATCTGTAGATTTTTTTTTCCAAACTTAGATAAGCAATAAGCAAGATAAACATTCACACAGGCGGCAAGAAGTATGTACTCCTAAAGTGACAAGGGTTAAAAATAGCTCAGGAAGAAGCTTGAGGTGAGACAAGGGTCACATAAAACAACAGACAAGGGAATTCCTCAAGAGAGCAAATCTCAAAAAATAATCAAGGAATAATCAAGGAATTTCCTTTTCCCAAGAATAGATGTGGGTCCTCAACAATCATTCATTGTTCACATCATGTCATGGACCAGTGATCCTTCTGTGTTCTCAGTTCTCTCCTTTTCTTCATGGAAGTTACTATTGTGTCTATTCTTCAGTGTGTGGCCTCTTCCAGAGAATTCTTACAGATTATCACTTCCATTACTAGTGGCAACCAGTGTTCTATTAGAATTCAAGGTCTACAAGGAAACCACCCAAATGTAATCATGACACAAGTAAAAGAGCCAGGGTCAATGCAATCTAATCTCCCACACTCATTCTAACAAATTCTAGCACAAACGAAAACCACTTAGTGTGTCAAGCAGCCAAGCTGTTGTTTCTAATTCAAAACCTTGATTATGTTTCTAAAGGTGAAGGCTTTATCTGTGAAGGTGCAAAGGCATCTAATTATGGATAGAATAGAAGGATATTCATAAATATGTTCAAAAGATTAAAAAAATCTACCATTCTTCAGCCAAAAATAAATTTGGAATATTATTCAATACTAGAAATAAAGATCAATTTCCCAAGCCTAAAAATATCTCCTTGTGTCCAGAATACAAATATAGAAAGACAATTACTAGTTAGCTATATTTATGTCAGATAAAAAGCATGGATTAGAAACTAACCATCACTATATCACTGATGGCACATGTGTTAGTTTACTAGGGCCGCCATAACAAAGTACCACAGACTGGGTAGCTCAAAACACAGAAATTTATTGTGTCAGAGTTCAGGAGGCTGGAAATCTGAAATCAAGGTGTCAGCAGCATTGGTTCCTTCTAAGGGCTGTAAGCAAACGGATTTATTCCAGGCTGCTCTCCTTGGCTGTGGATGACTCTCCACATTGTCTTCCATTTATCTATGTCTGTTTCTGTATCCAAATTTACCCTTTTTATAAGGATGTCAGTTGTATTGCATTAGAGCCCACCTCAATGGCCTTCTTTAATCCAATTACCTCTATAAAAACCCTATCTTCAACTAAGATCACATCCAGAGGTACTAGAGGCTAGGACTCCCAAAACATCTTTTTTTGAGGGGGGGGAACACAATTTAAGCCATCACAGCACTACAGTCTAGAAGGTTTCTGTGTGACAAAACCACTATTTCCATGGATAAAATGGTAATAACTGAGTTGAAAAAAAAAAAATTTCTATGGCTTTATAACCTCCAAACCAACTGGTTTCAATTCCAATTCCCCAAGACCCACTATTCCTTAATAATGAAGGGATATACTGAATTCCTTTACTCTTTTTGGGAAATATCTAGTATATGTAAGGGTAAATAAAAATCTAAAAAATAAATGAATTTCCTTGATGCCAAAAGAGAAGAAAATTACATATTTCCTCCTCTTTTTCCTAGAGCAGTTCCTTTAGAAAACTTGCAATTGTAAATCCTTTCTCTTTTGCTTTCAGAAGGATGCAAAGCTTTTGAAAACTTGAATAATCTCTAGCCAGTTTTGTACCTCAGTGAAGTCTTTCTTGGAAGTCTTAGAACTATCTTTCTGAAATGTGAACTTAAAGCGTCCAGTCTCTCTGTCTCTTTGGGAGGTTAGTCTACGTATCCAGCTGCAAGTTTTAACTGCTTGCTTGTTGCCAAGATACAAGAAGTTTTATTTTTCCTTTATATTATGACAATTAACATGTATGCAAAAATTGTATTTGCTTAGCTATATAAAAGAGTGAGATGCCTTTCTGTTTTTCTCAATCTCTTTAGTGGATTTCTTGAGATGTATATCATTCTGGTTTAATGTTTATTCAAGTAAAACTTTCCTACACTTGTAAAAAACATTTCTAGATTGGGAGAAGACTTTATTTTTTATTAATTCCCCAACAAATATTAAAATCTCATATTGTTCTTTTTCCCTAATGCAATAGACACACAATAATATAGACACACACACTCAACACTATTAAAAACATCTTCCACAATTACGATCTTCAAACATCCACTCACTTGGCATAAAATTGAATACATAGAATGGAGTAGTGATTAGTGACATCCACAATAATTTATAATTATGTTTGTAGTACCATTTATTTGATACTTATTATATGCCAAAACTGGGCTAAGTGTTTTGGATAGATCATGTGGTATAATCTTCGCAATGACCCTATTATTTAACTATTACCACTATTTCTAGAGAAGAATCACAAAGCTATCAATGTGTAAATAATTTAGCCAGGTTCCATTCCCAGACAATAGTAGAGAAATGGACCAATCTGACTCCAGAGCCTATACTCTTCATCACTAGGTAATCCTAGTATGACATGAGAGAGAGCATCAGATACCATGTCAGCACTGATTTCAGCTGGATTCCTGATAACTGGGTTTGCCTGTGGGTGCTGAGCCAATATAGCCAAGCTTGCCTCCACTCCTACGTAGTGTGGCATAATGGAAGTTTTCTGTCCTGAACATTAATGTCTTTAAGATTCTCTTACTGCGCTGTGGCACCTGGGTGGCTCAGTGGGTTAAAGCCTCTGCCTTCGGCTCGGGTCATGATCCCAGGGTCCTGGGATCAAGCCCCACATCAGGCTTTCTGCTCGGCAGGGAGCCTGCTTCCCCCCTGCCCCACGCCTGCCTCTTCGTCTACTTGTGCTCTCTATCAAATAAATAAAATCTTAAAAAAAAAAAAAGATTCTCTTACTGCACTAACTTGAGAGCTATATAATCTTGAAAAAATTATTTCACCTGTCTTACACTCAGTTTCCTCTTCTGAAGGCAGTGCCTAAAAACACCTTAACTATGACTATAAAGGAACAGTGGGAAGGCTCTACTAATATAACAGATGTGACCAGCTCTGACTGAAGATGGAAATCAACAAACCAGACTGCAATAATGTCCTTACTCAGCAATATGTCTCCTAGGAATTCGGACAGTGTTTGGCATAACAGGTAATCAAAATTAAATGAAAAACTGAATTAACCAAACACTAACAAATATAAGGCATCATTATCTGCACCTCTTATGTTTTCATAAACAATAAAGATGGCATAGATTTAACACATTTTCACATGAATAAGATTGAATCTCATTGTTTTCTCTTACATCAAAGTCTTCCTGTGTACTAGTATCAAGTAAATGCTTGATACAAAATCCATTTACAGCCACACTCAGGTTAGACATTAAGAATGGAAACCACACCTCTCTGTCCACATAACATGACTTTACAATCCTACTTTGTCCATTCACATTACCCTGATCCCTTCCCAAACCTAATCAACCCCCCATTCCAAAGACCCTCATTAAATAAGATTTCCTGTACTCAAGAAACTTTGACCTTGCTTCCGGGGTTCTGAAGCATTGCCAAAGCTCTCCTGAGGTGACCGTCTCCCTTATCTAAGGAAGCAATAAACTCAGCTTTGTCTCAGATTGTGTTGGTGGCATTAGGGAAGCTAACTTTAACAAAGCCTACAACTTCTCTAAGGTCTTAAGTATTATTTTAAAATAAATTTTAAAAAGCCCTCTATAAACACAGGTTTCTTGATATAGCACTCATGATATTAACAACATAACTGGCATTATAAGTGAGTATATGCATTCTTGTTGCATTTAACTCTTTCGTAGATCATGCTTTGAATTTATAATAGATGATGAGAGAATAAGATATTTTCATTCTGTTCACTTGTGATACAAGTGGCTCAAATCCATCAATTCACATTAAAAAATTGTAAATTAAGATTTTAGTTCCAAAATAAGAATACAAAACAGTAATTTTATTTTTACTACCTCATAGCATTTCTATATATAGGAATTTCAGAGTTGCTTTTTCAGGAAAAATAGTTAAATGCAACTTCCTTAATATGAAGTCTTACCTTTTCCAGTTTTGAAAGAGCAAGAGAGTAACAGTCTTTGGCTCTGAATTGCATGAATCTCATGTTGGCTGGGTGGGTAAGTTCTGTGATAATACTGAGACTGGAAAACAACCTACATTAAAAAAAACAAACACACAAAGAACATTTGCATTATGCTAACAATCCAATATGGCATTTTTGTATAACAACATATTTATGAGTAAGTGTTTCCTAGCCTTAGGCATAAAAGTACATGCAATTACAACAGCAGGCATTGCCACAAAAACTGTCCATATAATGCAAGAAAAACGGAACACTGTTTTCCAAAGAATATTTTAACCAACACTTTAGCAATGTAAGAAAAATAAATTTAGTGATTTGGCTTTCATTAGACATTTCTCTCTACAATTATGAAGTGGCAGAGAATAGAAACTCATGAAGCTGATTTAAGAAGTTACAAGGTGACTTTGTGGATAATGTTAAAATTAAAATTTATAAATGAATACACTGATTGACAAAGATGTCATGTGATGAGTTTGCTGTTTATGAGTTCTTTGATCTTCTAAGTTCCCTATCCTCATAGCATGCAATTTTAAATGTCAAATCTTGATATAATGACCTTCTGAGAAGAGAAAATATTTTAGCTGAAATAACACTTCATTATAACAAATTGAGGCCAAAGCTCAGTTGATAGTGTTCTTCTAAAAGGATTCTAAAGAAAGCATTAGCTTTCTTCCTATACACCTCCTTCCCCCCAAAACACACACACACACACCCCTGCACACATGCATACATGATAATAACTATCACATCATAACTTCATTATTGTTATTTTTATTTACTGAGGGCAATATTTAACACCTACGTTAACAAGTAATTATCAAGCATTTGTGATCGTACAGCTCTGGTCTCTAAGACATAAAAACAAGTATGAAGTGAAATTTTGCCTTTAAATTAGGCTCTACTACCTATAGGAAACTAAAAAAATTATAAATTATAAGGCTGTACATATTTTTTGGTACATATTTTTCTAGGGGTGATAAATATGGCTGGCTGAGTCCTCTCAGATTATGTAGCATTAAGACACCAGTAAACGGACAGCTCATGAGAAGCATCTAGAATAGTATTGAGAAAATAGTGTTGAGAAAAGGCCAGAAAAGTAATTTGTGAGAAAAATGTAGCTGCAAACCAATGAAAAGCTATTTCATCTTTTGGGAAATTTTCATTTTCTCTGAGAAATATACATTTATCTTCCATATATAGTATTATTCTAACTTTGGATACATTTATGATTACTTGGATGATATAATTCCTTTTTAACACATTATATCAAATAGAAATATATATATATGTAGCTATATATTGGAGGTCTGAGTTACAGTGAGTGGTAATATGATTAGGTGACCTGGTCATTGTACTTTAGTGACTTGTAGAATGGAAATTAGATAGAACCAAAAAAAATGTATATAATGTACCATTTCTGTTCTATATAAATGAACCTATACCACGGTTTAGACTGAGAAAGTGAATGCATTACCTAAGTCTGCCACCTAGTGAAAATCTGTAACTATAACCTATATCTATAACTATAACTAAATAAGACTTAAATATTGAAATGTTTTATTGCATTGCCTTTTATACCTACAAAATATTATTCACATTCAATTATAATACATTTATAAATTTGGTTTATATTTGGTTTATATTATATATCTTTTAAATACTCATCTATAATTCTATTTCTGGGTCTTAACATGGCCTAAAACACATTCTGATTATAAGATATCTTAGATATAAAATGACGTAAAAAGTCTATTTTCCCTAGATATGAGGATCACATTAAAGCAATATTACAGTTGAAAAACAATATTGTTTTTTCTATTTAAAACTTTTCTACAATTAGATGGCGGAGAAGTAGCAGGCTGAGACTACTTCAGGTAGCGGGAGATCAGCTAGATAGCTTATCTAAAGATTGCAAACACCTACAAATCCAACGGGAGATCGAAGAGAAGAAGAACAGCAACTCTAGAAACAGAAAATCAACCACTTTCTGAAAGGTAGGACTGGCGGAGAAGTGAATCTATGTTCTGATTGAGTGATGTGACTATCACTGTGGAGATGTACAAAATCTCTATGGAATAGTTCTCTGCCTGAATTAATTTATTCAAAAAGTATTTTTGACAGACATGCCTTGTTATACTAACCAATACAGAGATGGAAAACACACTATACACTCTATTTCCCAGACCACTGGGAGAACTCTGGGACTAGCTGCAATTATATATTCAAGCAAAACAAACACAAGGACATATAAACCTGGAAAATGTTTACAGTATCTTAATAAAAGTACTCAGCTATTGTTTTACACTATAAATTTCGATCTGTTGGGATGGCTGGGCATGATGTTTCTGAGTAATGGGAGTATACTTTATATATAGGTACACACACTTAAATATATGAAACACTATTTTTGGACTACAATTGACTGTCAACACTAAAAGAAATATGAATTTTTTTTACAAACGCTTTTTAAATACTTTAGGTCTGAGTCCGAGTTAGTAATAAACGAGACCATAATAAATATCAGATATGTCCTATATTTAAATTTATCCATGTAAACTAATCAAAAGAATAAAAAAATATTTTTTTTACTATATAAAGGAATCATTCTTGCATTTCTACAAATTCATTACCAATATTTTCAATTATGTCATTTTCCAGGTGTAGAGGTATGTTATTTCTTCAATGAGACTATGACTACTTGTGCCAAGCTGAAGACAATATTCCCTTTTTTATTTTTATTTTTTAGCTTGCCATTTAAGCTCTTAGCATCCTAGGGATGCAAATCTTTTAAATGACCAGCTCTCCCTGCTGTTACTATCACCCCCTCCCACCGCAAACCACTTTTCACATTGTAGCTAAAACAATATTTTAAAACTCCATCTTTCAGTGGTTTCCTTCCTGTTCGCTCCTGTAACGAAGATCAACTTGCTACGAAGCTCTGTAAACCAGGACCTCGAGCCTTTGGCTATGCTGCCCCCATGTGGCATGCTCGCCTCCTCTCTTCGCCGGCTTAGTCTAACTTGCAGGTGAAAGATGAATTTCTCAGGGAGTTGTTCCTTGATCCACTGGACTAGATCATATATTCTTGTTGTCTGGATGTATATAACATTCTTTTTTTTTTTTTCGGTAGCTGCCACACTTACCATTCTCCAGTTCAATTTTTAAATGATTTGTTTCATGTTCCCGGCTTAGACTACCAGCAACCCAAAGCCAGGACGCCTTAATCACGACCGATCATTGTCTGCCTTCAGCATCACAGCAGCCATAGACAGCATCCTGTAGAGGCCCCAAACTCACTATTTGCTCAGTAATACCCCGTGGATAAATCAAGCTGTAGGTGTTTGTAGAGGTCCACCTGACCAGTACTGGGCTAATGCAGGAATTTCTCCTTCCAAACACATCACAGATCCATGACTGGAATGAATGTTTCCACTGACAGAGCACTAATAGTAGTTATCTTAGCAGTTTAACCAGCTAAATTTTAGGGGGAAAAGCAAACACAAAAATATATTCATATTAAAATATCAGCCCAAGGAACTTCTGAACTAAGTCACTCCTAGGCTTTTACAAGGCAGATAAATCGATGCTAAATCAATTAAATGAAGAGACCATTAGACTGAGAAGGTCCTAACACTTTGGCAGCCTACGTAAGCAAGCCAACACCTCAGCCTATAAATGTCTCAAGGCTAAGACATCAAAACCAAAGGACATCCACACAGTCAGCTAGGCTTTCTCAAATAAAACCACTTAAGCTGTGGCCAAATAATTTCCTTGCTTTGCTTCTGTCTCTTCTCGATGAGTCCCTAACTCCTGTCCTTGGAGAGTTTCTAACCACTTCCTATTTGGCACTGCCAGATTTGAACCGATTTTTACTCACATAAACTCTTAACAATTGTTAGTATGCCTTAGTTTATCTTTTAACATTAGTAACTATTTACATTCGTAGCCATTCTGTATTAAACTAATGTTTTAACTATCTTGTGTGCTCTCTAGAAAATTCTCTGCTTCTCAACTTCCAGAGAAAGTTTTCTCGCCTTTTCTTTTCCGGATGCACAGACTTAAGGCCTTTGGTTTGAATCAGCCAATTTTTTTTCCTATATAAGATAGGATGAGCCAGTAAGCTGCCTTCAATGCTGCTTTTTTCCAGCTAAATGAGGATAATGAGAGATGCCATTGACACGCCAAACATTCCCTAAGTAGAGCATTTTGATACTTAGTCTGACATAGCCATTTTGAAGCAGTTGTTGTTTTTTTTTTTAATTTTTTTTAAAAGATTTTATTTAGTTATTTGACAGAGAGATCACAAGTAGGCAGAGAGGCAGGCAGAGAGAGAGAGGAAGGGAAGCAGGCACCCCGCTGAGCAGAGAGCCCGATGTGGGGCTCGATCCCAGGACCCTGAGACCATGACCTGAGCAGAAGGCAGAGGCTTAACCCACTGAGCCACCCAGGCGCCCCGAAGCAGTTGTTTTTAATTCAAGGCACGTTTTGCACGTTTTGGCATAGTTGTTTAAATTTAGCTAAGATTAACACTTCTTCATAAAAATGTAAAAACAGGCAATATGTTCAAACATACCAGGTACTTCTTCGGTAAAACTTTAGGAAGAGAAACTTAAATTTTAAAGTGAGGACTTGCTGGTCTTTCAATTTGGAAAACTGCACAAACTTCAGGAGTGATACTTGATAGTATTTGAGTCTTGAAACTTTGTATGCCAAGTTCTAGACTCTGAATGTGGAAAATAAAATACTTCCTGAGTGGGTTCTCTGGAAGAAATACGCAGGGACCAACCCAGCGAATCCATAATTGCCACACTGTATAAAGACACACTGGACTGTGTAGTCGTTTTCAATTACAAAAATATGTTTAAGTTATAAATGCAATTCCAGATGAAAAGGTGTCCTTCTCATGCCCCTAGCTCTCCTCTAACTCTTCTTAAACCTCACTCCTACCCCCAACTATACTGCTAATGCATTAATGAGATTCTCCTACTTTTGCCTTTGGTCTTTTGGGACTGAATAACTCTGAAAGGTCCTTGAACAATCTGGAAGGAATAAAGGCTTGCCAAGTGAAGCTGTATGCCCTAGTAAGGCAGGGGTTCAAGTGATCAATGTGAGCTTCTGAATAACAACAAATTTAACCTTACCCCAGACTGGCAAAACAGGCGATACCAGTTATACCAATAATTTGTGAACCAGAGCCTCGTTACTTTCATTTCATACTTGAATTCCATCTCGTTCTTGTCTCCTGGGCTCTAATACAAGCACAGATTGAAGATTTTTCTAACATATTCCTTAAGTCATTTTAAAAGCTGAGAAAGCAAAAGTCAAAATGCCCCCGCATCAAAATGTAATGTCAAAATAATCAAGTTGAAATGGCATGTGCCCAAAGAGCTTCACAGTCCTTTACAAATGCTAAAACAAAATGTAGCATCGTCCCATGCGGAGCAACAGCATAAGGTCACCTTAGTTTGCTAAATTCATACAGAGGCCAAGCAGATTAGAATTTGGTTCTCCTTTGAGGAAATTAATGACATTCATGAAGATAGAAGGACTGGGTGAGATATTTTAGAGATACTATTATTGAAATAAATTCCTAGGCCCAAGACGGAGCTTCTCCTGCTGGGTTGCTATGTCAGGAAACTAAAACATAGATTCTAACTTTTGTGTGTCTCTGTGATAAAATTAATTTGCATATCAGGACCCCAACTCGGAGGCTTCCTCAGAGGCCCCACCCATATAACAAATCTAAACTTAAGTCCCAAGTACTTACAGTGAATACCTATTAAGGAAACCTAATACACACCAATCTCAATCCTCCAAATCAGCTGTAGCTAGCTCAGCTTATGCTAGAGAACAGGACCTACTAGCCTGACCAGGAAATGCCTGACCTCCTAGCCCGCCATGCCCTATTTACAAGGTGCCCCTTCTAACATTCTGTAAATCTCACTCTTGCCCTGGATCTCTCCGGATAAATGTCCCACTGATGTGAGGCACTGTACTTGCCCAATCCATAGGCTGTCTTCCCTTGAATAAAGGCTATCAAGCTTGTTACTAAATTGTTTTAGTTTTGTTATTTGACACCCATGAATGCTCTACTTGACCAGAAACACAATATACCCAGTCAGCCAAGCCCCAAATGCCAAGCCAAACCTGGGCTCTACACTTAGTTCTTTGTTCCTTGTTCCTTACTCATTTTTTCTCTTTCCTGTTCCTTGTTCTTTATCCTATAAGAGCTTCCTGCCGCCCACCCTCTCTGGACCTTAGGAATGGAGACTGCCCACTTCATGAAGTGTTAAATAAAGTCCATTTGTATCACCTAAATTGTATTCTTCAATCATTTTTAACACTATTCACTCTCTTATACTCAACATTCCCTTGAAGATAGAGTATTACGCTTTAATCCTAAATAGCTTGGTACCCAGCCACTGGGATGAGATTTCTGGTTGCCTGTTGCACACTTATGAGGATATCTGGATTCTGCCTCTGGAACTGGTCATCTGTCTTTAAGGAATTTTGTGCAAGGTAGTGGGCAGAGAACCTGAAAGAAAACTGGGAGTGGAGGAAGGGAGAATAGGAGAGTTGAGATCGGTATTAGTCCACAGTAGATAATCAGTAATTATCTGTTTAGGGTTTCAGCACAGGAGTGATTATAATGATTGATCTGGAACTTAATCTGGTAAGGAGGGAAGAAAAGCTCTCAGGTGACTAAGGACAGTGAAAAGGTATTTGATCCAGTGGATAGTATGTTCCAGTGGAGACACAGGACTATTAAAAATTGGAGGTATTAGAAGAATTGAAGCAGAAAATAAGCAGTAGTATTCCCAGACCTAAATGAAATTGAGAGGATGGAGGGGAATGTTACTGGTACTTCAAGGGAAAGGCTATAACCAGGAGAACAGGTGGCTGAGGTAAGACATTGAAAGGATCATCTACATGGAATTGTTAAAATCATCAAGAAAGATGGTAGAAACAGGGTTTTCAAGAGTCACAGTGAATCAGGAACCCAAATCATCAAGGAATGTGGGAAAGTGACCTCAAAAGTGGTAACTGACTGCATCTATAAAATGAAATGGCCAAATCTGCATGATTTTGGTCATTTGTCTATATAAGCAACATTCCATACATCACGGGGATCTATCAGTGTCTGACTTTTGTACTTTATTATGCAAGACTAGCCTAGTTTAGCATGCACTGACCACCAGCTCAAGGACTACTCCATTAAAGAGTTTCACAGATTTTTTTTTTCCTGAAAAAAATTGTTACATACTTAGTGAAATGATGATAGTACCAAAACATAGGTATCTGCTTTTAGTTATTCTGGTCAGTTGGTTTTAAAAGATTAGAGCCTTTGCACCTTTCAGTAAGATGGAGATTTATTATTATCTATTTATTATTATCTTGAAATCAAAATAACTCATTCATAAACTATATAATAAAAGCCAAGTCAAATCAATTGAAACTTTACCATAACAAAAAATAAAGCATAATAGAAATAAAGCATTGAGAGGCTGAAAATCAAAGTGGTATGTTTCATCAAACAGACTGGGGATCCTCCTCTGTTAAAAATGTAACTAACTTTTGCCATGCTTCCACCAAAAAGTACGATTTCACTTTGTTCTCTGGCTATAAATCTCATCCCTCTCTGAATTAATTTTCCACTTGTAATTTCTTTTTTTCATTCTCCAGAGGGGGGAAAAATTACTTACATATATGTCATATTTTAAACATGTGCTATGCAACCTTTAAATGTACTATTTCATTTAGCTCAATAACTAGTTAGCTATATTCTAAATGAACTGCCACATTACAGTAGTTTTAGAGGGTACATTTTCCTCCTTTTGGAACAAGAGGTTCTTATGCAAGTTCAGAGTAAATTTTCCAGATGCTGTGACAGATTCATCACCTACCTAATTTCTGGTCCTTACATTAACACTGCAGGAAGGGTTAATTATTTTCCACATGCCTTTTATAGATATGAGAAACTGAATTTCTATGAGGTTAAGAAATATACTTAAAGTCACATGTATCTGCTGGAACCTCAGGGATTGAAGTGCCAGATGAAGTTTGTTGCTATACTGTTCCAAAGTCTGTGGCTTTTCTACTCTATCACATGAAAGTGATCATGATAGTGCTAATATTTACAGTCACCAACATTCATAGAGTAACTGAAAACTACCAACCATGTGCTATAGCAGTATATATATATATATTTTAAAGATTTTATTTATTTATTTGACAGAGAGAGATCACAAGTAGACAGAGAGACAGGCAGAGAGAGAGAGGGGAAGCAGGCTCCCTCCTGAGCAGAGAGCCCGATGCGAGACTTGATCCCAAGACCGTGAGATCATGACCTGAGCCAAAGGCAGCGGCTTAACCCACTGAGCCACCAAGGCGCCCCTATAGCAGTATATATTTTTAAATCCCAAACAACCTTGTGATTAAGACATTGAGGTTTAGAGAAGGGAAATAATTTGCCTAAGAGCATATAATAAATAGTCAACTTAAGTAGGACTCACATCTAGCTTTCTCTTCTGAATTCTGAACTCAAACAACAAATTGGTAACTACCCTCATGACAGGCTTTGCTACAAGATGAAGGTTTAACACATTAACTGTGGAACAAGAGATGATGATGGAGTTCAGACTGTTTTATTTACTTCCATAATCTGGTACCTCAGATAGTTCCTTTAGACTTCCACAAAACTCACAAAACTAAATTAATGATCTTTTAGATATTTACATTTTAAAATGATTTCAGAAAGAACCATTTCAAGTGACAAAGATGTCTTCATTTAGAGGTAATTTTGACTTTGCTTATAGCATGGACTTTTCTCTAGTTTTCTTCTTTCCCCAAAGATAATCATAATGGAAATTCCTACCTGGGTAAGTTTATTAATGAAAAACAGGAAAATAGTGAGGATAAGGTTATGACTTGGCTCTTAACATGGGTAAATTACCTTTTCACAGCCTTACAATATTTCATTTAGTAATCCAGATTGTAAATGCATACTTTTGGCCACTGCCAGGCATAAAACCAAAATTAGATCCCACTTCATCTGTCATAAATCTTGACTGCAACTCCACAGGATTTAGAATTTGTTACCGTTAAACTACACCAGAAAACAGATTTGTTATTCTATCTGCTTTGAAAAGAATGATCCTGAGTTAGAAATTAACCATACGGTACCAGTCCTACATTGGAGGCTAAATAAGCATTTGCTTCAGGATCAAATGAATGAACATAACTTCAGTGTAAGCACCTCATGTTCATTCTTTATATACAGAGTCAGAGTCAAATATTTCACCAATATTAGCAGTAAATAGGCCACAGGGCTGAGTTATTGAGATATTTACCTGAAAAGGGTCTGCACATTTACAATTGTTTTGGCGTCGGCCATGTAGTCTTCCTCTGCACTCATGGTACTCTCTTTGTCCACAACCACCATGTTGGCAGCAAAAGTCACTCCACACCTGAGTAAATCATCTAGGCTTTGATAAAAATCAACAGAGAAGAACGGACTTTCAATAAACCACCATACTACGAACAGGGCTTGCTTATCCACTACACTTGTATAGGCTGCCCTTAGAGATGGGGCACACAAATTCACACAATTTGCCCTGGTAGATACAAGTTGATGGGAATTAAAATATAGTATTCTGCGCTGACATGAAATATTCATATCTTTGAGCTCTCTCTGTTTCATTAGATCCCAACCATTTCAAAGCATTATGTGTTAAGGAATTTTATTTAATAATATTTATCAATTATATAACTAAAACATGAAAAACACCCATTTTGCAATCAAATAGATAAAGCACGTTAGAACTGTGTTTTTATGGTTAGCACACTATTTCAAAGGCAGGACATTTATATATTCTTTATAATCCCTATGGTACTTTTGATAAGAGTAGAAATGAATACTTATATTAATTTAGATGGCTTAGCCCAACAAAGAAGTAGTAAACTGTGAAGTGTTTATTTTTAAATGTGTATTATTTCTTTGTGTAAAGCTATGTGTTAAAGATTGGTTCTGCACAGCCATGAGCATGAAAAATATATAAACATCAGTTGTATTCAAACTTACCATTCAGCCAGCCTAAAGGTTTTGAGCCAGTGATTTAATGACCTGATCTTTTTGATTGTGTGAAATGCCTGCTAAACCAGGATACAAATTCCCATGAATTATAATAGTCTTTTCCTCTACCACTGATAAATACTAGCATTCTCCCACTGAATTAAAAGGAAATGTTGCCATTGAAGCTGACCTAAAGAACCACTCTCCCCCTGCCTCTGCTTCATACAAACTAGAAAAATACAACTGAATCAGATAAAGGAGACTGAACTTGAAGGAGTTTAAGAATGTTCTAGGTACGAAGTAGATTGAGGACGGAGAAGAATTGGGCTAAATGATGCCCACATCTGATTTAAAATAGGAAGTGGAGAACTTAAAGAACAGTAGTTCCTTCTAGATTCTTAAATTACAGGTCAGTTGCCTGAGATTCTTTTTCCAAGTGTGTGATTGGTTGAACTAGCCACATCAAGTGAGAAAGTATTACCAAAGTTCTGAGTCCAAGATCTCCAGAAAAAAATATTTTGCTTCAATCAGGAACAATTTTCTGTGGCAGAGATTTTATGGCTAAAACTTTGGAAACAGAATTCCAAATAAATTTCTCGTGATGAGAGGGGTCAGGGCCATAATTTCGAATCAATATGATGATCAAGTTTGATCCCTAGAAATACCTTATTTTGATGTTTCTTTTAACTTGTTAAAAGAAATTATGAAATTCATAATTGTTCTTGTATCTATTAAAAAACTTATTAAAAAAAGAAAGAAGTAGATGGAAAATTAATGTAATATGGTCCCTTATGGGTCATAAAAATGATGTCCAAGTCATATACCTTCAATCCACCTTACTATAATTTTGAATCATTTTCTATTTGAGCTCTTAGGGTCTTTTCCCCCAATAAAAAATAATCTCTTCACTATAATTATCTATATTAAAAAAGGGAAAGATAAGGTGATAGAAAATAAGCTTGATTGTTAAAAGATATACAGATATAAGTTATGATGGGAAAAATGAATATTTCATCAGTAATAAGTCAATGAAGTTGAAACTTGACAAAAAAATTTATTATGCATACCTGTGCTAAATAACTAATAGCTACCTATACCCACATGTTTCAGTTAATTCCATACTCAAAATATTGGCTGTTGTAGTTTATGTATAACCTTGACAAGTGATTTTAGTAATTATGATAAATATGAGTTTAAATCTATAGAAAATACATAAAATTGGAATGGCATTTCGGAACCATGTAAACATTTTGTTTTTCAGGTTTTAAGTTTAGATTATTTATTTTTATATCCATTTAATATTAATTTTTACTCCTTTTTCCCCTTTTTTAATCCGGCTACCAATTTATTCTTACAACAATACATCTGTCATGAATTCTCCACACTATCCTATTTGCAAAGCCACTGCCTGTATTTTCATTCAGCATAATTGCTTTACAGCATTTGGCCACCAGATGGCTGCCTAAGAAAAAAGTCAATATTCATGGAAAAAAAAAAAAAATCTAAATGGCAGCACTTCCTTTTAACTGTTTTCTAAGCCTTCCTTTTCAAGGAGAACTATAATGTGAATGTATGAATAAATGGGACTGTTTGTAAGTGTTTTAATTCATTCAAAGGTGTTTTTGGCTTTTTAATGAAAATTCAAACACTAGGGAAAGAGAAGAACACAGTGAACCTCCATATTCCAATCACCCACCCAGATTCAATAATGATTAACTTGTAGCCAATCCTGTGTCATCTCTAATCATAGGAAGTTGATCCTCTCGTTTCTTCTTTCCCTCACCATAAACACTTCCATAGAGAAAGAATTCATTTCATTGTTAACATCAGCAAAGACAGATGGGAGGTTTGTTTTTTTTTAAATATTGTTTTTCTAATGAAGTTCAGTAGAATACTATCACTCCAAAGTAATATTAGTAGCAATAAAATATAGGTTGATTTCACGTTTTAAATGTAAATAGTAATTTCAATACATTTAACTACATCTTAGTTGATTAGTATTAAGATATCTGATGATGCAAATTATATTAATATAGAATAGAGGTTAAATAAACATTAGTCAGTTTGCTCTTTAATGTATCCACAGCCAATAAACACTTCCAAAGTTATAAAACTTTGTTTTTTCAATCTACAGGACAAAAGGTAAGCATGAAAATTCTTAATTAGTAACTTTAGCATTTTGTTTTGAAGGCTCTGGCTGACTTTTTTTTTTAATGGAAAACTAGCACATTTTATAAGCATAGTAGTTTTATGATCTTTAGTTTTATATTTCTTATAAATCATGTTCATCCGTATAAAAGAATTTATATTTTAATACACATTGCACACATTTGACTTTTTGATTAACAAATTTTTAGAAATCATATACTGATATATGTTACTAAAATAAAGGAAGTTCTTAAGGAACTGCTCCAGTTTATAAATGTGGCTTAAAAGGAGCATCTCTAAATTATTGGAAGATTTCCAGAAGTTATGACAATGTCATCAAGCATCACAACAGTGGACCATTAGATTTTCTCTACCCCAAGGCCCATAGTAATAACGTTATTGCTAGAGACAACACAAACTGAAATAGCTTTCGAAACTAAACAAAAGTGACAAAATTCACATGCAGAGAGATTTGTTTTAATTCAACAACAGATTACTGCTTCGGAAGTTTGAATACAAGATTTGTAACACGAGAACATAAGCTCTGCATGCAAAGTACACCATATTTGCAATACTGAAATGGCAAATGACACTCGTCATGCAACACGGGGCCACAGCACATGACAAAGCACAGGACACCACACTAGTTAGTGTGCCAAAGATTTTGTCACCTACTTGTCAATAGAGCCCACCATGTAGTAAACCATTGGAAACCAACAGATTGCATCCAGAAAATGCATATCTGGCCTAAGTAGCAGATGGGTTACAAAATGAAACACAATGTCACAACAGTGGCAGCGCTTCTAGGGAAAGGAAGTAAGTTGACTTAGTTTGCATTTCCAAAACTCAACACTGTTTGACAAGATTAACTTTAAGTGCCTTCTTTCTTAACATTAATTAGGAAATATTATTTGTACTTGTTATGAATACACAATGCACTCAGAATGATAAAAACTCGTATTTCTGCTTTCTAAATCAGAAACATTATGGCATTATTCTACAAAAGTACTGAATTGATATTCTTAATTAAAACTAAAAAGTCATATCAATGAGTTTCAAAATTATTCATGCAGAATAAAATGAGAAATTAATGATTTTTTCTTAGATGGCCCAAAGTGTAGAGAACTAAATTAGCATGCTTAACAAGAGCACCTTTCTCTATGGAAAATACACAATTAAGCACAACCCTTCATATGTCAGGATACCAGTCAATAAATATAGTATACGCACCCATGTACCACATTTATTAAAGAAAATTAAAACGAAAATAATCCACCCTTTAAGTAATTGACTTACTCCATATATAGTTGAGCAAATAGTTACTGAAATCTTCACTTACATGCATATTTGAGGAAAGCATCATAATCCTGGATGCTTCCTTAAAACTCACTTAATCTATTGCATTCATTTTATAAAGTTATTGATTCTTTCATGCATTTATTCACTCAGCATATATGTATCCAAAACTTGTGATATAACAGACACTTCAGTATACTAAGGCATATGAGAATATTGTGTTTCTTTGTACTGTAAGAAATACATTTTTTGGAACACAGGTATAAGAGCACACAATTACAATACGCATTTTAATCAGAAAAAATAAACAGTAAGTTGCACTTAGAAGGCACAATTAGGGGTCATTTCACAGAGGTTATGTTTAATCTGGATGTTTGCTAGTAAAGGAGAAAGAGAGGGAAATTCTAGGAAAAGGGAAGTGTAGCACCTATAATATCCCAGCTAAATGAAGCCTTTTCCTCCCTGACTTATTTTCTTTCTGCTAATCATCCTCTTAACCCTTTACACTCTAAAGAAAAAGAATGCACAATACAGTTAAATGAAAAAAGATGATGTGCCAAAGAATACCACTATGTTGATCTATCCCTCCCTCCATTATATTTCTTTGTAGTCCTTTTAAAAGGCCCCATATTATTACATATTATAACTGTACCACAGTTCATTTTAAAAATCCTCAATTAGTCAGCTTGTAAGGTATTTTCACTTTTATGCTACTGAAGTTACAAGTTATTTCCAATATCTTGCTATTACAAATACAGGTATGAACATCTATGAATGACATTTTTCTAGCGTTAGTTTTTTAATCATTTATTGCAAAACATTCATAGAAGGTATATTAGTGAATCACAGAATATAAATAGCCTTAAAGCTCATGATATATATTCTTTTCAACAAATAGTAACAGTCCCAGTAGCGATCTTTTTATAGTGTCTTCTAGTTCTCTGAGCACTGCTCTGCTTCTTAAAAACAGAAGTGTCATCTCACTGCTGATTCAAGACCCTCCCTGTCTCCCTTGCCCTACCTCATGATTATAGAAGCTGGTATGAGGATGCCAACTGCCACAGGCCCGAGGCAGTACTGAGGTTTTGCAGTGATCTGAAAAATTACTTTGCCTGTGTCTTTTTTCGGTTGTTATTTTGTTTCATCTCTCTTTACTCCCATATGGTTTTAGTCAGATAAAGTGAGTATTACCATTACTTATGTGGCAGAGATGGAGCCATAATCCTTTGCTATTAATTGCAGATAAATATACACCCTGGTTGGAATAACTACGCTTTTAATCTGACTCTTCTTTTAAATTCAGATTTCAATTTCTTTATGTTATCTTCTGTATTCTAAAGCCTAGTAAAGCAAGAGTAAATAACGCTATTGCATAAGTCAACATAGTAAAGATACTGAAAATCTGTGTAATAAATAGTACTGGGGTCACTGAGGACAAAATTAAGTCTTTACTTCATGTCAACCCTTCTGTTAGAGTTAAAACTGAAAATACGGCCTTTGTAATTTGTTGCTTTGTCCAGTATGAATAACTGAAGTTACTTAGACATCAAAATTATTGCCTTGTCTTAGGAAACTCATGAATTTTACCCATGCATAATTCTGCCACAAATGTTTATTTACAATGTGCAAGCTATCTTCCACATCCTCGGAAATTACTTCAGGATTTTCATTGTGGGAACGTGGTTCATCCTTAGGTGGATTCGGCTGTGTTACAAGGTAAATCAAGCCCTTGAAACCTATTAAATATATCATTTTGATGAAGCACATTTACTGTGGGGAGTCTAATGTGCCATACTCATATAGCAAATAGATTTATATCCTACTTCTATCAATAAGGATAGTTTAATAACAAACTTGAAATATTAAGAATATAGGAATTGTATATTTACATGTATTATGTTAACTCAAATAAATTAGCAACAGTGATCATGTCACTAAACTGCTTAGTAGCTAATGAGTAACATAAATGATATCATGGGCTCTTAATAGACTAATCTTCCCAATTATTGAAAGTTAATTGGAAAGCAAAACCTTTACATTGAAAACCACTAAGCAAAACCATAAAACATTAGAATAAAATGCATGCATTTTTTTTAATGCTAAATAGAGAAGACCTATCTATGTTAGAAATTACATTATGGAAAAGTAGTAAAAATAATTGCATATTTAACTACAAAGCTCATCACAAAAATTTTAACATAGAAGAAACAAACATTTAAAAATGTATTACTTATACAAAATTTACATATTTACTTAATATGTAAAAAAGTATTTCAAATCAATAAAAGATAGACTTAACAGGGAAATAGATCTAGCACAAAATAAGAATGCATAGACCCAAACCAAACATGTTTAATCTAACTAGTAATAAAAGAAATAAAAATTCAACAAGCACAAAAATTTATGTTAGTAAACAGAAAAAAACTGAGCACATCATTAATCATCATCTAACTGTAACTGTATGAAGATGACCGCTTATGAGTCTAAAACATCATATTCTTACAATAACTTTCATTATAAAAATTACCACTATATTCAAATGTTAATTAGCTAGTGTTTGTTAGGAAGTGAAAAGTTATGTGGATTTGCATGGGTTTGCAAAATTGAAGATCATTACTTCCCATTTAACTAATTACTATAATGGACTTAATTTCTGATTTTTAAAGTGAAGAAATGAATGTAGTGAGGTTTTTGGGTTTTTTTTTTGAAAATAAACATATCATGTATTTTTATCCCCAGGGGTACAGGTCTGTGAATCGCCAGGTTTATACATTTCACAGCACTCATCATAGCACATACCCTCCCCAATGTCCATATCCCCACCACCCTCTCTCGTCCCTCCTCCCCCCAGCAACCCTCAGTCTGTTTTTTGAGGTTGAGTCTTTTATGGTTCCCTCCCTCCCAATCCCATCTTCTTTCATTTTTTCTTTTCCTACCCCCCAAACCCACCGTAGTGAGGGGTTTTTTTTTGGTTAACATTTCATTATTCTATACTTAAGTAGTTTATTTCTTTCTTAAAAATATATAAGGAATTTCATTTCAACTGCTTAAAATACATCTCCTTTTTTGTTAACTGATTTTCACCCAAGTCCACTCATCAGTTTGAAGAATGACAATGTCACTTTCTTGATTGGTGGCAGGTGGGAAACTAACATTTCCTGGCTGCCTTTTCTAAGGGAGATATTGCACTAGTGCTTCATATAGAGTCTGTCTTATAGAGTCTCAATATTACTTGTTAAATAAATGTTCTACTCATTTTACACATGAGAAAATTGAGGCTTAGAGAAATTTGAGAACATGCAAAAAGGCTTTTTACCAAGAAGGTACTTAAGTAAGCTTAGACCTTATCTCAGATCTGTATGAGTTCAAAATTTGAATGTCTTTCATACAGGATTCTGATATGTCAAACAATTTATCATTGCTTTTCAAATAAGCTGAAGTTTACTTGACACTATATATGAAAAGACAATTGATGTAATAAAAGAACTGTGTAAATAAGGTGTAAAAAATAGGAGCATAAGCCTGGATCTTGCTCTTCAACGTTATATAGCTTTGGGTAATATATCCCAAAGCTTTTGACTTTTGTTTCCATATTTTATGTGAAATGATATTATCAGATGACTAGGTGACCTTTAAAGGTAGGGAGGTAATCAAAATATTTAAAATCAGTATAGCACAGCACCAGACCAAACTAAACAGATGTCCATCCAACCAGAACTGAGAGCACCTCTTATGAGCCAGTACCAAGTGCAAGATGTTTTCCATTGTGCCTGGGTTCCACTTTGTTACCAGATGAGATCTAAAAGCCTTTCTCTTTGGAAACATTATGAACACTTATTCTGACATATTACATTTGTGAATATTATCAATTTAATTTGCATTTTTAAATTCCTACTTATGACATCTGTTATTTATTTGTTATATTGAATTAATTGGTCTTTCAACTAAATTTCCTAAATAGCCATGTATTGAGTGTTATTTTCAGCAATGCTCATGTAAATTTAAAACAAAGTCAAAACCCACTAAACTAATAATTGTAGAAGTGTGTACAATCTTTAGTGTATAAATTCTTGTAACATGGAAATATTCTGAAGAAGAAAACAACACATTTCTTTGTAACATTGTAGGATACATTGTAAAATACTAGTCATGGCAGAGCAGGAAGAATCTCAAAATGATCACATAAAACTTCCTGGAACATTATTTATTAGTGTTTAGTTTTTGTTTCCTCATTCTTAACCAAAAGAGCAGAGGGCAACAAATAAAAATAGTAGATACCACTTTCAGGAAGTCGTCAGGAAGCTAATAAACTTTACAACATGTACTTTCATCCTAACCCTTTGGAAGAAAAGTGAAACCCCACAAAAATCACCTAACAAACATCATGGAACTAGTTAGAGTCCAAAATATAAGTCATTAAGAAGCAAGAAAATTTGTAATGCAAAGTAATCTGAAGTTAAAATATATTGTTACTAAAAAGAATTGACAATATATTTTTTTACATATATCAAAAACCTGTAAGTTAAGCAAGATCATATAGTTGAAAGAATAATGCACTATGAATTATATAGAAGGTTCTAATCCTAGAATTGACCTTGGAAATATTCATTTAATTTCTTTGGTCTGTTTTTCCTTGTCTATAAAATAAAGTACTGTAACAAAGCGACATAAGTTGGTTTATTTAAATGTTATCACTGTAACTTGAAAACTTTGAGATCTTAATCTGCTTAGTACATCTTTCAGGTTAAATCATCACCATATGATGTGGATATATTTATAAGGGGAATAAGATGTAAAAAAAAGGCAAAGTGTCTAGTATGATGACTGACATAGTAAATGTGCAACGATTATTACTATTATGAACAGAGGGTAGAAGTAAAGAAGATTAATTTTATTAAATGATCTATATGGTGTTATTCCAACAAAACACTCTCTGATAAAAGATACATAGCTGCATCTAGATTTATACAGAAAAACTGACCAATTTGCCAGTAATTAAGGGAAATGGGATTTTTGGGTTTTTCTATGATTAACCAGATTCAGGAATTAAGACTATAAAAACATCTACTTGCTTTGATAATGTTAACTTACAAATCAATCAATCAACCAATCCATCAGTAATTATGCATTTTGGCAACCTGTTTACTGAGAACCAAACAGAAAGGGACTGATTTAGTTATAGCCATTCAAAAATCTCCAAAAGATACACATGTTAAGAAATTCTAGCCCCTGCCACCTGCTCAGTGGGATAATGAGGTGGACAAAGGGGAATTAGTGATGCTGAGATGGGATTACTTAATAAGACTAGATATTTAAAAAAGAGAAGAGCCTATCTCCATTCCATGGAGTGAACACCACTCCAAAATTTGGAGATTGGATTATTTTGGGAGGTGCAATATTGTGATCTATAAGAAATCTATATTTGGGCATTCATATCATCCATGGTTCTTGGATCACAGCTCCCAAAATGCTTGAAATTTTCTGAGGATAAGAGCAATGGGAGCATCTTTTGTTAAAATATTTGTTCTCTTGTCCTCCGTTCCTGATATCACTTTGGAGCCATAAAAGTGAAATGAGTGTCTTGTTATTCACTACAAGCCCCTTTCTACCATAACTGGGTTGATATTAATGAGGTGACTTTTGGAAAGCACCCCTGGCTTGTTGCCAGGGGAACCAATCATGAACAGAGAGTTGGAACTCTTAGTCCCATCCCCTGATTTCTGAGGAGTAGAGAGGGGTTGGAGTTTGAGTTTGACCACCAACGGCCAATGATTTAACCAATTATGTCTATGTAATGACCCATCCATAAATACCCAAAGGAAGGAATTTAAGGAGCTTCTAGGTTGATGCATGTGTGGAGATTTGGCAAGAGTGTTGCCCTCAGATAGAGCATGAAAACTCCATGCCTTTCCCCCATAGTTTGCCCTATGTATCTCCTCTTTCTGGTTCTTGAGTTACATCCTTTTAAATAAACCAGAAATCTGGTAAGTAAAATGTTCCTTTGAGTTCTGTGACCTGTTCTAGTGAATTAATGGGACTTGAGTGGGGAACTCTGATTCCTAGTCTGTCAGTCAGAAATGTAGCTAAACAGGGGCGCCTGGGTGGCTCAGTGGGTTAAAGCCACTGCCTTCGGCTCAGGTCATGATCCCAGAGTCCTGGGATCGAGCCCCGCATCGGGCTCTCAGCTCAGCAGGGAGCCTGCTTCCCCCTCTCTCTCTGCCTGCCTCTCTGCCTACTTGTGATCTTTCTCTCTGTCAAATAAATAAATAAAATCGTAAAAAAAAAAAAAAAAAAAAAAAAAAAAAAGAAAAGAAATGTAGCTAAACAACCTGGACTTGTGAGTAGCATCTGAAGTCCAAGAATGGGGCCACTGGAACATCCAATCTATAGCCGGTCAGTCAGAAACAGAGGTTATAAAAGCTAAAGCTTGTAACTGGTTCTGAAGGGAAGTGGGCAATCTTGTAGGACTGAACCCTTAGCCTGTGGAACCCTTAACCTAGACAGTAGTATTGTCAGAATCAACTTAAGCTGTAGGACTCCCAGTTGGTGTCTCAAGTGTTGCTTGCTGGGAATGTGGGAAACCACCCACCAACAAATACACACATTGAAACTGGGTCCAGGAACCCAACTAGATTCACACATTAGAACAAGAAATCTTACCTTGAAACAATGTAAAACAGGGGAAAGGTCAGCTTTTACCCTTTGCTTTACCACAGTGATGCTATAAGCACGGTTCTACTTTTTCAAGCCTCTTCCTAACTTCCTTTCTGTATTCTGGTGCCTCAGAGGATCCACTCTGATCCAGTACATACAAGATGGGGATGCTCTAAGGCAATGAACTTGTAAATGCCCCTGCCTTAAATTCTACATTAAGGAAACAGACACACCATAAGGAAAAAGAGCCCAAACCTGACGTGTTAGAATTCACTACGCAGGGTGAACTGAGCACTCCTTGTGTGCCATTTTAGCCAGTCCCTTTGAGCTTCCTGCCAGAACAGTTCTACTACTAGGGATACTTTCAAAGGCCTTGGAGGTGTTTCACAACCACTCCATTGTCAGAGCCATCCAGCAATCCAACTTTCATCCTCCTAAGATTTGTTTAATTAGCTTTTATTTTTTCTGACAATGCATCCAAGTTTCTGACCTTTCCTTGGACACTAAAGTGGTATCAGGAAAGTCACTGAGTCATCATATCTGAAAATGCTTCAGCTGAAACCTCTAGAATGTTCTCAGTTTTTAGAGTTATCATTGTGATAACGATGCTAAGAAAGATGCATCAATGAGTGTCTTCATATATTCTTGGTATATATCAAGTGTCTTGGTATATTCAGTATAAACAATGATATGAAGTTATAGTGGGAAGATATTTTTGTTTTCAAGAACTTCTTTTGATAAATTTTAAAGGCAGAGATGAGGCAACAGATTTTGGCCTCATTTAGCTTATCCTGAAATTTTGCATCACTTTGGAATTTAAAAGGAGAGTTGGAGGATCCCAAAATATGGTATTGATCTAAGGACCATCTGCTACCAATTTTGAGTCACAGAGAGGAATATCATAATTTTAGGATACAATGAGTTTGACCACTGCATTCATGACCTATATTTATATTTGCATGAGGAATTTTAAATGCTTAAGTAGTCTTATTTCACAAGAGTATATCAATCCAACATTTTCAAAATAAATGAGCATGGTAAAGCATTAATTATTCATATTGTGTTATAGAATATATGTTTTAACAGTGGAAGAATCACAATAAGTTATGATGATGTATCACAGTATAACATAAGAATGGATCATTAATATGCTTGGCTGATAATTAACGGTTCTTTAGAAAGACCAAAAAATTGTCCAGTTTTGGCAGAAATTTTCCAGGCTAGTTGATTAATTTAAGGAAAATAACTGTAATTATTTCAATGGCATGTTTCCCATTGGTATTGAGTGATGACCACTTGCAAAATAGTTTTAAATAAAAAGCTCGGAGTGTTCCAGTGATGTTTTAAGTAGTATTTGTGAAACAACCATATTCAATGATTGTTTTGTACCATAGCACAAAATATATCTCCCAATGAATCATGTGCCATAATGTATCTGATTTAAAATATTCCAAGCAAATTAGAATAAATTATTTTTGATATAATATTAAAAATTCTTTGTCTTGTGTGGGTATTTTAAAATATACTTACGGATTGTCCAATAGCAGTACTATGGGATTAAGTTCTTTCTTTGGTCTATAATATGCCCTGAGAGGAACAATAAAATTATACAATCCATTTCCAGCTGTTTCAGCTGCAACTATAATTAGCTTATTTTTGAATCCATAGGCTTTTGCGTCCTCATAGTAGTTATGCTGGCAACTCTAGAGAAGAAAAATTATACAAAGAAATGCTATTTTTACACTCCACTAAAATTTGCTGAAAAAATTTAGGATATATGGAAGAGTAAAATTAATCTAACCTAGTAAATCCTTTATTTTATAACAAATTTGAAAATAGTTACATTTTTCCATGCCCCATTCTCCAGCCTATTTCAGGAAGTGAAGGTATGCATGGACAAGGCAAATGAATTGCAAGTGTGTAGCTTAATATGGGGGAAGACAAAGTCAGAAATATGTGTGTGCACATGTTCTACTGTAAACTAAAACATATTGCTCAATGACATCTGGGTATCTATATTTAAAAATTACCATAATGTGTATGTATATCAAAAAATCGTGTTATATATTTTAAATATACACAATTTTTGTCAGTCATACTTCAAGAAAGCTAGAAAAAAACTACCTCTGACTTTGATTTCCAGAAAGATAATAATATTATCATCAAATGACCTTGGAACTTTCCAAGTACTGAACATCTAAAGGGATGGATACCAAGAAAGATTTTCTTTGTTGTTAAAAAACAAAAAAAGAAAACCCTTAATTGTCTAAACATATATCTGAGCTGGCAAGATAATAATAGAAATACACAAAAGTAAAATACCAATACTAATACTAACAACAAAACAGTAACAATACATTATCAAAACTCATTGTTATTCTGAGGTTATTTTGCTATTTTCTAGAGACCTAGTACTCACTGGACTTAGCATTATTAAACCAAGAATCTTTTAAACTGAATTATCTGCATGGAGAACTGCTTTCATATTCTGCCCTTTTATCTTTCTATGTCTCTGTGTGGGTTTCTTTTTATTTGGGTTGAGATTAGTAGATTCCCCTTGAATTCATCACCAATTCTGGAATATTCTCTACTTTTTTCCTTTAATAAAAAACTACAAAATGCTGTTGGGAAGAAGGCACCATGAGTCAGCAGAAACAATAAACAATAGAATTAGACTCACAAAGACTACAGGTTTTGTTCTTATTAGATTCAGAACAGAAAAAATGAATGTGTTTACTATGTTTAAAGAAATAAAAAAGAACATTTAAAGTATGAACAAAGAACAGGAGGCTACTTAAAATATTTGGTAGATATTAAAAGAAATACACATATTCTCTTCTAGAACTAAAAAGTATAACAAGTAAAAATAAAAACTCAAACAATGGGTTAGATTGCACATTTGACACATGTGAAGGGGTCATTTGCAGGACATTGATGTAATTACTCAGAATGTGCTAAGAAAAGAGATATAAAGTCGTATGGAGAAATTAAGATACTTGGAAGCTAGTATGACAATGTCTAACATATATTTAAGCAGAAAACCTGAAAGTGAGATTAAAGTATCAGAAAGAAGACCTATTCAAGTAAATATTAACTAAGGATTTTCTAGAATTAATGAAATATTCAAAACCTCAGGTTCTGGAACTCCAGAAAATCCTAATTCAAATAAATAAAAAAAAAAAAAAATCCAATTTTCAGAAGTATGGTAATAAAAGTGCAAAACAACCAGACAATCAGATCTTAGAGAGCCAGACTGAAAAAAGAGACCACCATTAATTTTCAGAATACAAACTAGAATGACAGCCAACTGTTCAATAGCAACATGGAACCCATAAGGCAGAAAATAAAATTCTAATGTACGAAAAGAAAAAGAAAACTCATCCTGGAATTGGACACCCAGGAAAACTGTCTTTCAAGAATAAGGACATTTCTAGGGAAACTGAAATTGGCAGAATTTAACACTAATAGGACTTTAGTAAGAGAATTTCAAAAGCTGTAATCAGTAGGAAAATGGATCCAGAAGGTTTAAGACATAAAAAAGGAATGAAGAAAACGGGACATGATTTTTTTAAAAGGAGACAATAAGCCTTCATTGGAAGTATGATTGAAGATTTACTAATATAAGTAGGATCTGCAACCACATGAAGGAGTGAATAAGGTCACTCACAAAGAGGTCATGGACGGAGAAGAGTGATGAGTGATGTTGAGATATTAAGAATTTCAATATTTATGAGATAAAATGAAGAAAAACAATTAATTTAGGTTATTCAGAAGTAGCTCAATTAGAAAGAAAAAAACAAAACAAAACAAAACAAGAAAATAGGGACATCAGTGTTGATGAACCTTGATCAGGAACCTATTTGTTGATACTGTTGCAGAATGAACTGGGCAAGTAATCCCAATTCCCACACTGCACAGATGCAGTAGGATTGACTGTATAATCCCATCTCCTGATTGCAAAGTAGGCATTCGTATAGATAACAGACCAGCACCTCCAGCCAGCCTAATGCTAGATAAATAGAGGATAATACCAGAGGTCATCTGCCAGTCAACAGCATTCAGAAATTTTGTCTTCTTAATATGGTAAAGAGACCGCTCAGAGTCTTTGCTTTAAAAGACCCTCTATTGTTTCTTTGCCAAGCCTTATCTCAGAAAGTTTAGCTTTTCAATTGTATCAGGTTCCCTGCTTGGAGATAAGTCATTTTCAAATCTTTGATCTCCCAGTGTGTTTTTTTCTCCTGAATTCTGAGTTAAAAAGTAAAATGCAGGGACACCTGAGTAGCTCAGTCTGTTAAGCAGCTGCCTTTGCCTCAGGTCATGATCCCAGCGTCCTGGGATCAAGTCCCACATCAGGCTCCCTGCTCAGAGGGGAGCATGCTTCTCCCCCTGCTCCTGCTCTCTCTCTCTCTCCCCACCCCACTCCATAAATAAATAAAAAATTTTTAAAAATGCTAATCCAGGTTTTGTGGTGCCTGAGGCTTATGTTACGTGGGGAATCCTCTTTAAGGAAAATAACACAAATATTACAAATTTATAAATTTTAAAAATTATTCATAGGTCCTTAGAAAGGGCTAATACAGGTAAAGGGGTCCTGAAGCTTAAGATTTACTAATGTTACCAAAACTATACAGCTAGTCAGCATAATCAAATACTTCAGACAGTAAGTTAAAACAAGGGACCCCCACCCAAAAAAAAAAAAAAAAAAGGCATTGAGATATTGAGAGAGCGACATCTTAATGGGCACAGAGGAATATTTAGGAGCAATGGCAAAGATTTTCTAATGTTCCACTATTCTTCCTCAAGAGTGACAGTAACAGCCAGGCTTCATGATGTTTATCTTATTAAAAAGTAGTAGTAGCAAGAATACTAATAGAATGTATTAGGTGCCTACGCATTTATTAACTTCCTGGCACTGTGTGAAGCATTTTGGTTGTGCTAATTTATAAAATTCTCACGAGAACCATCGAGGCTTGTAATTACAACCATGTTATAGATATGGAAACTGAAATGTAATGGCAAAGTTATTTGCCCAAAATGCAAATCCTGTAAGCAGAGAGCTGGGATTTTAACTTTCATTAACTCCAAAATTTAGAGTAAAAGAATAAATTCCTGGTTAGAATTAGCAGCACATTTTAATTTCTGGGAGGTGAAGGGTTTGAGAATCTTCTTCTTATCTGCTTTCTTATTCATTAAGAGAACAAACTCCTATAGAGGTCATGCCCAATAGCCATCTTGGCAAAGAGATTTTAAAATGTCTGCATTCTTGTAATCTTTCTGTTTTGAATGGCTCCTTTAGAACATCCAAGCAAAAATCAAGAGCTACAATAAAATCTTTAGAAAAGGAGATAACCACAAAACGGACACTAGCTTTCAGTCTAGTCAATAATGAATCTTTCTGGCTAACACATAGACAAGCTCATTTCACCATGCCAAGCAATTCCACATTAAGTTTTGAAGCAAAAAATAAAGCCTTGCAAAACAGTGCACAATGGGCCAAAGTGATTTTGAAAGACTCTGGATGTTGAGAGTTCATAAGTTTGAGGTTCTGGCACCTACGTTTTCCTCTTTAAAAACATGACTGACTGACTCCTCCGCTACTTAAGTAGAAGGGGAAAGCATTTGGGTAATCTTTAGTACAGTTAAGAAAGTACAATTCACCATTTTATGTATTGCATTTACATCCAAAAAGATAATGTTCTTTAAACATATCTTAGTCAAAAGACTATACAAAATTATTTAAATATACGTAATTACAAAATGCCATAATTTCAGTTTCAGAGAAAATAACAATTGCTTACCTTGTCTAGTCTTAAGCAGCAAAATGGCACTTTTTCATGAAGGAGATGACAAAAAGTGGGTGAACTTCCTATATATGGAGAGTAAGGTGGATAACCTTTAGCATATCTGTAAAGCAATATGAAATATTTGAGGTGCCTTGAAGAAAACACACATAGTTGGACAATTAAGTGATAGCCATGTGTCTCTATTTTGATAAAGTATGGTGCAACCCTTTATATTGTAATTACATTTTGATAAAGAAATAGTTAAGAATAGGGATAAGCAAACTGGATCAAATCTGGCCCACCAGCTGGTTTTGCGAATTAAAAGGGTTTTTTTTTTTGTTGTTTTGTTTTGTTTGTTCTTTTTTTAATCTTAAATGTTTGGAAAAAAATTTTAAGTAAATGGTTGGAAAAAATAAAAAAGAAGAATATTTCATGTCACATAAAAATTACATGAAATTAAAATTTAAATATCCACAAGTGAAGTTTTTTTAGAATACAGCCATGCTCATTCATTTTATGTATTGTCTATGGGCACTTCAAAAATATTTGGATTGGTGCAGCAAAGATTATATGGTCCATAAAGTCTAAAGTATTAGCTGGTTCCTTCTAGAAAAAGTTTGCCATTCCTTGGTTTAAAAGATTTAGATAGATTTTTTAAATTGCACTATTAATTTTTATAAAACACACTTAAAGCAAAATGACTTATTATGATTTACTCCATTAATATTCATTAGTCATGAATACATAACCACATAGGAGTAAACAACTGAGTTAAATATTCATATACTCCCCCAAAACAGACTATTGTTGGAATCATGCTTAAAATATTATCAAAGATAATTATTTGCTGACTTTACAAAAGTAGCCACCTGCATGCACATTACAACTATATTAATTTTCAGAATAAAACTATTAAAAAGTAGAAGAATAAATGAAAGTTAAGAAATAAAACATAATTTGGTAGAGGCAAGACTCCTTTATCTACTATGAAAACTCTTCTCTTTTAAACCAAGAAATTTCAGGCCTAGTTTAAACTGTTTTCCAGACATTATTAGCTCGGAGGGTAAAATGGTGCACATTTTGCAAATTTAGAAGTTGATAATCTCCACTATTATTTCAATATCTTTTTCAGTTTGCTTAGGAAAAAAAAAATCCACCTCTTAATCTTTTCAGAAGAACATGTAAAGAAAGAATTTCAATCACACCACACATCATTTCTAGAAATATACTGGCAGTCAAAACTCTCCTTGTTCCCATCAAATATTTCATAAATATATTTGAGTGCTATTGATTTTCTGGAGAGTGGATTGTGTTCTGTGGGAACATTAAACTTCCTTGTAATAATTTTTTTTTAGGTGTGAAGGATTAAATGAAGAATTTTTTTAAGTTTCAATTATATTTCAATTCATTTTATTCAATTCAACATTAACATCAACATTAATTGAACATCTATTATATGAAAGATATTGGGAATATTTAAATGGTGTTACCACTGCCACTACTATTACTACTACTACTACTACTACTACTACTAGTACTATAACCCCTAGTAATTATTACTCATTGAATGCTTACTCAACACAAAGCAGTGTCCTAAGCACTTCTCCATTATCTCAATTAATCTACATCTGAACATTATGAGTCAGTAATTATACCCCCTTACAGATATAGACACTGTGGTTCAGACTGTTTAATCAGTCACTTGCACATAACCAGTATAGGATGGAATTGACATGGAAAACAAACTCTTTTAGACTCCACTGTCAAGACTGCTGACCCCTAGGGTTCCCTCAAGAAATAGCAATATATTATGTGAGCAAGACAAGTAAACAAATCCTACTGAAGATTAAAATGTGATTAATAGCATATACACTGGCAATATGTATTATGGAAGCATAGTAAAGAGAACTAGTACTTCATGCATTCATTCATTCAAAATATTACTAACGTATACCATATGAAAAATACCTATGCATGGTAAGATAAGGAAGGGAAATTTAATGGAGGAAACCTGCACTACATGTCACTGAATAATTGACTGATCTTCAATATGGACTTGGAAGGAAATAAATTAAAAGTAGGAAGTATAATATAATTAACAAAAACATGCAATCATGAAAATGCATCTTATATCATGAAAATATTGATTGATGTGTTTTCTTTAAGGATAAAAGATAATTTAGAGAACACTGATCCTGGAAATACATGTTGAAGCCAGAAATTTGAGGTCTTAAAATACTTTATAGGTAATGGAGATACTGGCTAATAGGAAGGGTGTTTTGTTAGAAGTATGTGGAATTGATTCTCAGATATATAAAAGGTAAGGACATTAGTGCCCCAGAGTAGCATAAATCCCAGTAAATCTTACAACTGTTCTAGAATATCTAAACATACTCTAAGTTTGAGGAAGTTTCTTCATCTGCTGTAGTTTCATCTTCTGATTGATCACTTAGAAGATCACATGTTTGAATTGATGACGTATCTGCAACCTCTAAAACAGGAGCAATGCTAGGTCTTCTGATTTCTTTGCTTCCCTCTGTAGGAAGAGACAGGGTGGGGCCGCTTGTTGATCTACAGCTTGTGTCTTGCAAGTCTATAGCCACAGTACCTGCAACAAAGAAACATAAAAATCCATCAGAGTACTTGCCACCTAGATGATAATCAACCATTTAATGATCAAAATGAAATACAACCAGTGTAACTGGGAAATCTGTTATTGTTTATCCTTTATATCTACAAGGTTATTTCTTCTCCATGTGGACATTTTTACCTACATGGATTAAAAAAATTCTGCATTTGTGCAAAATGTGTTTGCTGAGTCTAGCTTATTGCACAAAACACAAGACTTGTGAAACCCTGAAATACTTAGGAATTTAAAGTGAAAAAAATACTTTGTTTCAACGTACATTTATTTAAAATTAACACATAAATTTTTGGCCTTTTCAATATAGTGGATTTCTCATTATATCCTTTCCCCCCCATTTTGTTATTATTCTCTTGCTGATTTGTAATCACTTTTTTAAAATATTAGAACCATTAATATTTTATATTTATTCCACAAATATTTATTATGTACTGCATGAAAAACACTATCCTAGGCACTTGGGATATGTGGGGAATGAGGGAACGAAATAATGCTTCTACACATAAGCACTTATCTTTAAAATAACCAAGTTGACAAATAAATGAAAACAGTCATTTTAGATAGTAATAAATACCATGCAGAAAATAAAACAAAATAATGTGATGAAGAATAGGAGGAGGAATGAATTTTCACCAGGTGGTCTGGAAGGCAACTCTGAAGTCATGACCTTTGATTTTTTACTCAAAAGACAAAAGTGAGTACTCAAGCTGTGGAAGTACCTTGAGGCAGTAGCAAGAGCAAACTTAAATAGCTTAAGGCTTTTGAATACTGGGGGGTAGTCCCCAGTAAACAGAAGAAACAAATTCCTTTGGGATTTTTTAACTGGAATTTCAAAATTAATTTAAACATCAATTTATGGAAAGCTTATGTCTCCCCTTCTGAAGAAAATAATACAGTCTAACTGATGAGTGCCATCATGTTTCTCCACCACTCACTTCATTTATGCACTAATACCTGGTCATCCTTCTAAAACCCCTTAGACCTCACTTTGTCCCTTTTGAAGCAACTATTAAAACACTTGCCACTTCTCTCAAACCTCTGACCTTGCCACCTCCTTTACTATTATAGCAGAAGTTTTTAAAGTGGGAATAAAACTAATGGATTTTGGCTTCTCTTTCCTTGCACCATGGAAAGAGAGGTCAGCAACTGATTTTTAAAACCTCTGAGGCAATCAGAAGTCTCCACATAAGGAGGGATAAACAGGAAATGTTTTGAGGGTGAGAGTTGGTAGCACAAGTCTGATGAGAATATCCGAGTATTCCTCAAAACTTGAATAAATTTGGGGGGTTAAGTTTCAGAGAGTTGTACCTCTCCATATACACAAAACTCAGATTAGTAGGTGAGGAACCCTAGTGCATCTGTAGTTCGTGCGAAAGCCTTCATGTGACAGGCATATATGAATATTCCCAGAACAGCTCTTTCTGAGAAAAGGATGTGGGGACCAGCACTTAGCAATTTCAATATTAGAGCAAAGGTAAAGATTGTTGCCATCAGAAACTCTATGGTCAACCAATTTTTGAACACCATAAATAAGGATTAATCTATAATTCAATCTTTGGGCAAGAGCTGAATGAGGCTCCTAGAGAAAATAAGATTAAATTTTCTATTTAGTAGGTATGTGGAATTGATTAAAAATTAAATTTTACAAATTTGATTTACAAAAATAAGCCATTATTTACATCCTAAGGCTTTAAGTTAAAATTCACATGTATATTTATCCTCTGCACATGACCACACTGTTGAGTTCAGAAAGAAAACAGAACTTATCATAGAAGAAATCCTTCAATTCCCTGACTTCAAACAAACATGAGAGTTTAACCAAACTTTTGTTCCTTTATTTCTGCTTAGAAGGAAACAGAAATACTTCCATTTATGTGAAGTTAATCCCTACTCATGTTTTGGGAATTAAATCCCTTCTGGCTTCCTAAGAAATTGTGATCTTTTAACCCCACTCTCCAAATATATGTGACTTCATATCACTCCCAACTACCTCTTTATCATTTTCTGCCCAACACAGGGAAATGTGGTCACTTCCCGATTATTTTGCCAAAGCAGGTACCTGGCCCCAAGATGTGCATGGGGCTATGATCATGAGGAAGAATCTAGCAGGGAAAACACAATTCAAAAAGTAGTCACAATTACAGAAACAAGCTCTTTGAACATTTCCTTTCCTTAACAAACCTGACTCTTCCCTCAACCCTTTATAAAGGTGATGGGTAAATACCCTCAGTGTGGTCACCATCTCTTTTAGACTCTTCTTTTATCCTTTCTAAAATCCCAGCTTTTTCCCATATCTTCAGATTCTATCACCACTTTCACTGTTTTGTTTGGTGACTAAACCTATGTCATCCTACTTATCTCCTAATGTTTCTATTCAGTTTCTCCACAACTATTTGCATTAGTCTGTCAGGACTGTCATAACAAAGTACCACAGATTGGGTGGCTTAAACAACAGAAATTTATTGCCTCACAGTTTTAGAGTCTGGAAGTCTAAAATCCATGCATTGGCAGGATTGGTTTCTTGAGGGCTGTGAGGGAACGGTCTGTTCCAGGCCTCACTCCTTGGCTGGTTATGGTCATATTCTGACCATGTCTCCTCTCACTGTCTTCCTTGGATGTGTCTCTGTGTCTTAATTTCCTCTTCTTATAAGGACACCAGTCATAGTGGATTAGAGCCCATTCTAATGACCTCATTTTAGCTTGATCACTTCTTTAAAGACCTTAGCTTCTAACACACTAAATTATTTCCTTATTTTTTCTGTGTTGTTTATTGGCAGTCTCCCCTGTGATAGAACATAAGATCTGTGAGCTAGGGATCTTTATTTATTTGTTCATTAATTTATCATAGAAACTTATAAGAGTGTCTGGCACATATTAGGTACTGTGAGTAAAGGTTAATAATGGGAAAAAATCAGTAGGACTACTATAAAAAATAATATGCTAGGTCAATAACAAACAGGGTCACCTAACAACAGTCCATTAGGTGACCATGTTTGTTATTGACCTAGCATATTATTTTTTCAATTCAACATTAACATCAACATTAACTGAACATCTATTATATGAAAGATATTGGGAGTATTTAAATGGTGTTACCACTGCCACTACTACTACTACTACTAGTACTACAACTCCTAGTAATTATTACTCATTGAATGCTTACTCAACACAAAGCAGTGTCCTAAGCACTTCTCCATTATCTCAATTAATCTATATCTGAACATTATGAGGCAATTAATTATACCCCCATTACAGATATAGACACTGTGGTTCTATCTACAGTCCAAGCAGGGCCATGGAATATGTCTCAGAAAGAATGATACTGAGACTGAGACACAAAGGATTAGAAGAAGTTACCTAGGAAAAGTTGGGGGCTAGGGAGTAGATTCTGTCAGAAGAAACTTCTTGTGTTGAGGTCCACTAGTGAAAAACAATTAGTGAAGGCTGAAAGGAATTTAGTACGAATGGGACTTAGTAATGCGATTGAAGGGACAGTAAAATACAAGACTAGAAAACTGAAGTGGAGTTATTAAAAAAAAAAAAGAACTTTAAGTAAAGTGACTGCGATTTATCTTCTAAACTAGGATGCCTTTTTATTTTAAGATTTTATTTATTTGACAGAGAGAGACACAGAGAGGGAGGGAACACAAGCATGGGGAGTGGGAGAAGGGGAAGCAGGCTTCCTGCCAAGCAGAGAGCCTGATGCAGGACTCAATCCCAGGACCCTGGGATCATGACCTGAGCCTAAAGCAGATGCTTACCAACTGAGCCGCCCAGACAGCCCTGAACTAGGATACTCTTAAGAGTCAAAGGGTGTGGTCTTCAATAATGACACCAGGACAACATATATAAACTGGGACTGTCCTGGAATAACTGGGAGTGCCTCATGCAAACAAGAAGTTTTGGTTATCCAAATTATAAGCCATGTAATATAAAATTTAGATTTTTTTCCCTTGGATAATAAGCAATTCAAATGATTTATTTATTCTTTTTTAGATTTATTTATTTTAGAGACAGATAAAGAGAATACACACATGTAGGGCAAGGGTACAGAGAGAGAGAGAGAGAGAGGAAGAGAATCTCAAACAGATTCCTCACTAACCCAATGTGGGGCTTGATCTCACAACCTTGAGATCATGACTTGAGCTGAAATCAAGAGTCTAATACTTAACCAACTGAGCCATCCAGGCACCCCAGCAATTCAAGTTATTTATGCAGGAGAATGACACTATCAAAATTATGTAAAAATTATAATTCTGGTTGCAAGGTGGAGAAGAATGCAAGACAGCATGGAGGCATGGAGAGAAGCTTGGGGGGTAGGGGGGTGATCCTACAGTTGAGGGGAAGAATGATGGAGATTCAGACCATGATCACACAGACAGTGGGGAGAAAGAAGGGAGTGACTTTCAGGGATACTTGATAATCTGAATTAATAGAATTTATGAATTCTGAGATATGAGAGGAGAGGAACAGAATTGTCAGGATTGTGACTTTACAAATTATGATGTCTTATCTGTATTTTTAGCCAAAAAATGGAGGAGGAAGTAATTTTGAATGAGGGCAGACAGATAACTTCAATATGAATATGGTGTGTTGGTTTTTCCTGTGAGACATCCAGGCAGAAATAAATAACCAGTATACTGCTGTGAAGAGAAATTTAATGATTTATATAAAAGAATCGTCAATTTTTGGAGGGCAAATCAATCTCTGGGAGCAGAAGAACATGGTCAATACCATCCCATGTTGTGAAGATGTCCACTGGATTTAGTGACAGAGTGGTGACTTTGCCAGAGTAGTGATACAAGGACTACAGATTTCAGACTAAACTGGGCAAAGGCATGAGGGGACAATAAGATTTCAAGACAGCAACTGAAGACAACCCTTTCCAGGAATTTAACTGTGAAGATGTCAAGCCAAGAGGTCCAGGTGTATGTGTGTGTGTGTGTGTGTGTGTGTGTGTGTGTGTGTGTGTGTAGAAATAAAAAAAAGAGAGACACACAGAGACAGACAGACAAAGGGAGGAGAAAAGAACCAATGATTTTGAGAAAAAATAAAATTAGGTAATAAGGATGAATTAAAATAAAAAGTGAGGTTCCAGAGGAGGTAGTAAGTGAAGTCGTTACTATTAAAATATTAAAAGTTGGGGCACCTAGGTGGCTCAGCCAATTAAGTGTCCAACTCTTGCTTTTGGCTCAGGTCATGATCTCAGGGTTATGAGATGGAGCCCTGTGTGGGGCTCTGCACTCAGCATAGAGTCTGCTTGAGATTCTGTCCTCCTCCCTCTTCCTCCTGCTTTGCTCCTTCCCCCACTTGCTTGCTCTCTTTCTAAAATAAATAAATAAATAAATAAAATCTTTAAAAATATTAAAAGTTAAAAGTTAAAAGACACATTATCTTTGTGACAAAAATGAATGTTTGTAGGTTTGTAGGTGGTTTGGTGGCAAAATTTAAAGGAAATTTTTATTTGTCTGGATCTATTCCTCCTCCGACTTTTTTTTTTTTTTTTTACTTCTGTATCATAAAAGCCAAGTTCAATGGTGAGAATGAGATGGACAATAGAAGAAGAGTTTTGAGAAAAACAGAGAATATTTGAAATAGCCTCTGTTGATAACTGGATAGAGAACTTACAAAAGAACTATAAAAGTGTCAGGTGCTTATATTCTAATCAGAAATATGAAATAATTATTGACAATTTTGAATTAGCTTAATTTTTTTTAAATTTTATTTATTTATTTGTCACGGAGACAGGGAGAGTAAGAAAGAAAGAGAGCACAAGCAGGGGGAGTGGCAAGCAGAGGGAGAAGATTCTCTGCTTAGCAAGAAGTCTGATCTGGGACTTGATCCCAGGATCATGACCCAAGCCAAAAGCAGACACTTAGCAGACTGAGCCACTCAGGCATCCTAAATTAATTTAATTTCTTACCAGTTTAACAGCTTGGAAACTTTTTTCTAGATACTTAGTTATACCAAGTTTATAATATATACAATTAGTGTCTAGTTTGACTTTGAAATTTTAACAAACATTGAAGGATATTTATTATTCCTTTTAAAGAAAGAAACTAAGGCGCCTGCATGACTCAGTAGGTTAAGCATCTACCTTCGGCGCAGGTCATGACCTTAGGGTCCTAGGACTGAGCTCTGTATAAGGTTCTCCACTCAGCAGGGTGTTTGCTTCTCTCTCTCCCTCTGTGGTTGGTCTCTCTTGCTTTTGCTGTCTCTCAAATAAATAAATAAATAAATAAAATCAAAAGAAAGAAAAGGAGAGAGGGAGGGAGGGAAAGAAGGAAGAAGGGAGAGAGAGAAAGAAAGTAAGGGAGGGAAGAAAGAAAGAAAGAGAGGAAGAAACTAGTGATATATTCAAATTTATTTATACTTACCCATGCTGGCAATTATGCTATGTACAGGTAATCGAGAAGGTCCATGATAAAATGACCTTGGTACATTGCTTTTTTTCTGTTGGTCTTGGTTTTTAAATGCTGAATTCTCTTCTTTGGTAATATTAATATAAAAACATATATCTGTAGCATTCATAATATATCGAGGACCTGGATTCAGCAAAATGTTTTTATTATCCTCCCTCCGAACACCAATCAAGCAGACACCAAACCTTAATTAAAAAAAAATAAATAAATTTTAAGAACTGTGATTCAGCAAAGCTCTTATGTTTTTTGTTTGTTTTTAAGTTTGCATGTGTAAGAAAATTGGTAAACTATTATAAGGCAGAGGAAAATTAAAACCCCAAATCAAAGTATTTTAAAGCTTGCAAAGATCGTGAAAGTTTAAGACTCCAGGCTCTGAAGACAAAAAAAAAAAAAAGGACTCCCAACATTCAAAACTTTCCTGTTTTTCCAGGAAAAGAAACTATGTCCTTAGTGTGTGGTAAAATCAATTTAATTGATTATGACCTATATAGTTATTTTTAAATAAAGAAGAATAGAAAAAAGATAATGAAAAATATCAGAGTGTTTATCATTAGTAAGGGTAAGAATTTTTAATAAATTGTGTGTGTATTGAGTCTTACCATAAATGTATATTTTCACTTGGTCAAAAAATATAAACCTGTATTACTTTAGTCAAAAATGCTTGAGTCATTGGCCTAAAAGGAGAAGAAACTTACCCAAGGTCATATGAGAAAAAAATCAGGGTACCTAAATTTCTTTTAGTTTTGTTTCTACCATATTTGGTTTACTCTGAATTTTAGAAAAAAAATTAATAGTCTGAAAGGTGCACAGCTTAATTGGGATAAATATTGACCACTAAATATAATAGATATTAAAAATTTATTTTATATTTTTTCAGGTTATTCTCCAAACACGAAATGTCGTGAATGTTTTTATTTCAATATGTCTTATAGCATTAGAAATAAATCTAGTTTAAAAATATTTTTAAACATCAAAATATATGTACAGAAAGAATCATGCTGAGAATTAAAGTGGGATATATTAAATATTAGATTAGTAGAAAATACTAGACATATACAAACCTTAAAATATTATATCAATATATTTACAATACTGATAATATATTACTTTCATTTTAAACATATATTTTTGTTTCTTTAGAAAATAATTTTTCTCAAAAAGAAAAAATATTTTGTCCCATGTTTGAATTAGAAGGTACCATTGTTTACTTTTTAACTTATTTCTCTGACCAAAGCAAATTTTTTTAAATGTCTAGATTTTATAAATGTTATTATGACATTTTTACATTTTTACATTTTTTTTACATTTTTAATCAACACTTTAAAATCAGATCTCTAAAGAAGATTCATTTTCATGTATTTGTGAATTCTTCATGGATTAAAATATTTTAAAGATGACTTAAAAGTTACTAAAGCCAATATTTCTATTAAATTATACTTTATACCTAACACTCTTAACTTGTAGAGACCATACAGAACCAGAGTTCAAATATCTCAATAATTACGTTAAAATTTCCAGAATTCTTGCAACTCATGAACACCAATATGGGCTGTATTTTAGAAAACTGTACTTAAAGGGTATGCTTGATTTATATTTTAAGCCCACTTTGGAAGCAGAAACGTACTTTTTGTGTGCATGAAAAGACGCATATGTAAAACTCTTCCCTTCATATTCAGCAAAAAATGTACTTTCTTCCAAAACAATGTGGTATACTTCATTGCCAGAGCATCTACCATATATCTTCTGCCATTGCTCTGGGGATTGCTGGCCTTCTCTGCAACAAAAGCACACACACATACACATACACAAAGAGCAAGATACAGTGAATGTGGTTAAAAAGACAGTTTTCACACCTAATCTGGTTTCCCTACAGGAGGAACTGGTAAGCACGGTTGAAAGAAGTCTATGTGTGATGCTCTAAATGATGATATTATTTACAAATACTCACAAAGAGTTACCACAGAAATTTTGAAACTAACACAATATGTAAGTTTGAAAGACGGCAGATTCCTAGAAAGTAGTTCTTCACAATCCAGTTAACGGAAGCATTTATCCTGACTATGCGGCAATAAGATACAGCATTTCATTTTAATTTCTGTTTATGTATATCCTGTCATGCACATCCTGTTTTTACACTTGTTTTATAGTCTAAATAATATGGTCCACTTCATCTCATTTATAATACTTGTTTGGCCCTGGTAGGTAACCAGGTAACCAGATTTTGCTTTGTATTTATAATTATAAGTGTACAATGTCAACTTATCAGTTGGATTCCACAGAAAATATACTCTTAATTTCCATCCATATCATAGCAATGACTTTCTTCCAATTGTGTAGCAGTTAAGAAAAAATATTTCTGCATGATAAAAGGGTCTTCAAAGAGATCCCCCAAAGTATTTTTTCATACAACCTAAGTTATCACAGAAAGTACAGTTTGTATTTTCTAGAATGTTCTGCTCAGTGGCCTTGGATATAAATAAAAAAGTCAACCTATGAAAAACATATTGTGAATATACAAGAGTTCTTCTTTCCTATTTTTTATAGTAAATTTCACTTTTTCTGAATAAATTTATGTAGTCTATAAATACAAGAAATGCACTTTAAGAAGACATATATAAATATAAATATCAAAATATTTCATCTAATGTCTATATATTCTGAATGGATAAAAGCAGATAACAAACCATATCTAACATATTTAGGGTTGAAAAAAACATTTTAAAATCTGAGTTTTAGGGGGACCTGGGTGGCTCAGTGGGTTAAAGCCTCTGCCTTCAGCTCAGATCATGATCGCAGGGTCCTGGGATCGAGCCCCACATCGGGCTCTCTGCTCGCAGGGAGCCTGCTTCCCTTCCCCTCTCTCTGCCGGACTCTCTGCCTACTTGTGATCTCTGTTAAATAAACAAATAAAAATCTTCTAAAAAATAAAATCAAATCAAATCTGAGTTTTAGCTAAAGAATTATTAGAGATAATACATTAATATTTTCAGAGTCAGTAAGTTTAAAAAAATCATATATTTTCCAGGTATGCTTCACTTTACTTCATTGTTTCTTAATTGTGCTTTAGAGTCAGTTAAGAGTCAAGAGCCCATGGGATGCCTGGGTGGCTCAGCTGAACATCCAACTTTTGATTTCAGCTCTGGTCATGATCTTGAGCCCTGCCTTGAGCCCCGCCTCAAGTTCTGTGCTGGGGGTTGGGGGGCAGTTTGCTTGAGATTCTCTCCCTCTCCCACTTCCCCTCCCCCAACTCACATGTGCGTGCTCTTCCCTCTCTCTCTGAAATAAATAAATAAAACCTTTAAAAAAAAAAAGAGTCAAGAGCTTGCACCCTGAAGACTGATCACCTGATCTGAACCCTAATTCTGCAATCTTGGGTTGTTCAGTAACCTCTGAGTGATTCTCTACCTCTTCTGTGAAAAATAGCCCCAGCCTCAATGGGTTAGATAAATTGAAGTAATACAAACAAATCACTCAGCAGATGTTGGGATCATAGTAATCACTCAGTAAATGTTAGCTTCCACTATTTTGTTGTTAAATCTTCCTCATTGCTAAATTTTGGAGCCAATTTCAACGTGTCTAGTCAACCTACACTAATGCTCTTAAAACCTTTACTCTTTTTTCTTTAATGTTAATATGTTTTTGGAAATAGAAAAATAAAATAAAGCAGACCACTTCTGACCATTGACTGCATCTGCCTATACCTAACTACTGCTTCCTAAGAATAATTTTTCCTGGTGGAGAAAACATTCCCTCTGGCAAACAAAAATAAAATTATCTTTGTTATGCTCCATAGTCTACTTGGCAAGACGATACTTGGCATAGAGAGCATCCTTTTAAAGTGCTGGAAATGTAAGAGAAGGTGCCAGTAATTCGTCAGTGTTTGTTCAAAATCCAAAAGGTAGCATGGAGTCAAATCCGTGTCACACAAGGGTCCTAAAAGCTATTAAAGAATATCATAAATCTAAGTCCAGGGGCTGAGATGGAAATACAATGTTGTAACTTGGAAGGGAACAGAAAAGGAGGGTTAGACAAAGACATTTCAGATGGATTTTCCTAAATCATTTGCTTGTTCTCATGTTATTTTATGCTTCTACCCCCAGAAGACCTCTTTATGCTCTCTTCAAATATCCCAGATAGATAAGCAAGAATCTCTAGGTTTCTGCTAATTGTAAATACCCCAAATTTTCTCCTTTTTAGCTCATGTTAATTGTTTGAGAAATGTGTGAACATAGTAATGTCATTTAATACTAATAGCTATGTCCAGTTCCCACTTATTAATCCCTACATGAAATATTCATCGAGCACTTAGGCTGTGTCAGGGACAGTTCTAGAATTAAAAGTTACGGCAGTTAATACACAAGACAAAAATGTTTTCTTGTTTGGAGCCTCTAGTGAAGGAAGACTGACAAACAAAAAGACTGATAAACAAAAGAAGCCAACTGTGTTATGTGTTAGAAGTGATAAGAGACTGGGGGAAAAATTAGAGAGAAAAATGACTTTTGGGTCATTCTAGGAGAAATGGAATATAAATGGTATGGTTGAGGAAGGCATCACTGAGAGGTTGACATTGAGTAAAAATCTTCAATAGTTATGGAATGGCAACCACATGGGTACCCAGGAGAATAGTGGTCCAGGCAGAAGCAGCCACAAGCACTTTCCTGAGGCAGAGGAATGACTGATATAGCTAAGGAAAAGCAAAGAGGCCAGTTTAGCTGGAGTTGAGGGAAGAGAAAAAAATGACTCCAGAGAGATAGCAGGGCAGGGAGAGGGGTCACATAGAGATTTATAAATGTTTACAATGACTCTGACCTGTACTTGAGATGATTTGGCAGTCACTGGAGGATTTCAAAGATGGGTGCAAAAGATTCTGACTTAAATTTTACAAAAATCCCCCTGGGTCATGGTGCTGACTCAGAAACCAAAGAAAGGGTAATGACCAATAAGGAGGTCATCATGATAAAGATGATGATAGCTTGGACCAGACTAGACTCGGTCCTGAATGTAGACCAGAAAGAATTGCTAATGGAAGAGAAAAAAGTTACAAAAATCTTATGTATCTGAGTCCATCAGAAATATGGATGGATAAATAAAATCCATACAGATAACAGTGAAAATGCAAGGAATACTGCTTATAAAACATCATGAAGAAATCATAAACATAAAAATGTTAAAATCAAAGAAGTGATTTTGGATTTGTCATTGTAGCCTACTAGGTCCTAGAAAGAAAAAAGTCAATCAGAGATAGTTTGTGTGGGCTTCAGAAACATTTGGAGTGTTTGTTTTTTACATCTGAAATGCTAGGTACCTGTCCATGATAATATTGTTATCACATGCAAATGAATGAAATATTTCTTATTATATAGAATATAATATGTGCTAATATACAATGATATTAGCATATATCCAAAAGATATCTGCATCTCATGATCATCGCAGCACTGTTTACATTAGCAAAGACATCGAAACAACTGAAGTATTCATAGATGGATGAATGAATAAAGAAAATGTGGCACAGATATATATAATGAATTACCGTTCAGGTATAAAAAAGGAAGTCCTGTCATTTGTGACAACATGGAGGGACCTTGAGGATATTAGTTCAGTGAAATAAGTCAGACCAAGACAAATACCATATGATCTCATTTATATGTAGAATCTATAAAAACAGAAACAAAAAATGAACTTAGAGATTCAGAGAACAGACTAGTGGTTGCCAGAGGTGGGAGGTGGGTGAAATGGGTGAAAGTGAACAAAAGTACAAACTTTAAGTTGTAAAATAAATAACTCCTGGGAATATAATGCACAGCATGGTGACTACAGTCAATCATACTGTGTTATATATTTGAACGCTACTAAGAGAGTAAATCTTAAAAGTTCTGCTTACAAGAAAAAAAATTCTAAGTATGTGTGGTGAATGGATGGAGTGATTGTCACGATCATTTCTTTTTCTCTCTCTCTCTCTCTAAGTATATATATAAAAAATCCTACGGGGCTCTTGGGTGGCTCAGCAGGTTAACTGGCTGCCTTCTGCTCAGGTCATGATCCCAGGGTCCTAGGATCAAGTTCCACATCCGGCTCCTTGCTCAGTGGGGAGCCTGCTTCTCCCTCTGCCTGCTCTTCTCCTGCTCCCCTGCTTGTGCTCTCTCTCTCTCTCTGACAAATAAAAAAATAAAATCTTTTTAAAAAATTGTATATATAGAACATGTAAAATTATTAAGGTGTACACCCGAAACTAATATAATGTTACATGCCAGTTATGTCTGTTTTTAAAAAGGGCATTTTATAGCCTATAGATGTGTAAAAAAAAGACTTTTGTCTTCAACTTAAGACAAATTAATTTCTACCTAAATTTTCTCTTCATCTTATCTCACTTTATGTTCCTAGGCAGAATTAACTCAAGATTATTTTTTAAAGGAGGAAAACAATTACATAAATAAAAAAAACTATTTCGAAACTTCTTACACAAGAAAATATTTTCAATTCCACATCTAAGTGACTCTGGAACTCATTACGTGTCCCTTTCCCCATCAATTCTCACACTCTTAAAATAGTCCTGAACCATCTTTTTGCCTCCTTGCCTCCAGTATTGGCCATTACAAATCAATTTATGGTGCTGTCATAAGAGTGAATTTCAAAATCTTTAAGATCAGTTCATGTCACTCTCCTGTTGAAAATGTTTAAAGGACTTCTTTCTTCCATTTTAAAAAGGTGAACTTTCTTATCATCATTACAAAGCCCTTCTGACCTATGCTATGCCTTTCAAATTTCTTTTGT